CTTTCCCAATTCTACCTGATGTTAATAAGTTGCATGTGTTTGCCCAAAGCACTGCTGTGTTCTTTAGAAAAATCCCGACTCAAACCAGCTAGTTCAAAACATGAAAGCAAATCACTGATTCCTGTGTTGTGGTCCCTACCTCCCAAAACTACCCAAACAAAAACCAGGAAAATGTGCCAGCATTCACATTTTTCCATTCGTATATGGTCAGTCAGCAATATCCAGTCAATCATTCATCTGCTTGTTCTCATAAAACAAGCCTTTTATCTTCGGACTGTGCCAAATGCAGCTGTAAACGCAGAAGACAAATCATTACCTAGAAAAATCTTCCTGAACAGTTTTCGACACAGCTATCAGCAATATTCATGAATTTTATGTTTTAAAACTTTAGTATCTATGTCACATCAAAATATTCTTGAAGTCACACTAATAAAAGATTGAGAAATAAGAGTATTTGTCTCAAAAACTTCCCTCTCCCTGCCTGTAGGCTTGTGTCTCGGTGTTTTGTTTGTTTGTTTTTTTTAATTTTAAATTGCTCCCAGATTTCATCCCCCATGCAGATCAACATGGCAAAAAGCGAGATGAAAAAACTCAGTAAAATTCATATTAAATAGCTAGTGGAGGGCAAAGCCGAAAGTCAATAAGCTTATCTATGTCTGTAGCAAAGGTAGGCTGGAATCAGAACATCAACAGTACAAGCACAGTAGACAGAATCAGATGAGTCATCACCAATGGAAAAATTGAGCAATTAAGGACTCTGCCTTTCAGAACACAAATAGGAGATTTAACATTATTTAAGCACTGTACTTTCAGCTTGCTGTGTGCTTCTATTCTTCATTATTTTCCAGACTTTTTTTACAGTATCATATATTAGCCAAGTACATTTCACCAATGCACGTCAAATATTATGTAAATACTGATTCCATCTGTTTGCACTCCAGCTTCAAGAGATTCAGTATTGCTACATGTAAAATTACACTTTCCTTAAGTGTTTCAGCAGCAATGTTCCATTTGTACTAGACGCCAAGAAACTGGGCAGTGAAACTGTTGCTCTGACGAACAGACAGCTGTACCTGCTGACAACCCAGCAGTTACACACTGCATTTTACCTGGGGTTCCAGACAAAGCAGCTTGAGCTCCTGTCAAAGTCAAAAGGCCACCTTCTTTCAGATGTTTTGTGGCTAGGTGGCTGGAAACAGTGGATGTCCAAACGCTCTGCTTCCACATCAGATCACAGTTTTTGTATAATGCTGATTAGGAAGAGAATTAGTGAAATTAACTAAAAGACAGAAGACTTCTCGTTTCCTCACTGTCACATAGAGTGCAATAGCACTATGCAACAGGACAACAAAAACATACTTTCTACCGTTTTCTACTTCAACATGGAGTAAAATACCAATTTATGCGTTTAGTATCTCACTTCTCTTTGGGGTCCAGGTCCCAGCTCTACAGCCTATATTTAAGGCAAATATCTGTTTTCTCACTACCAGAAATAAAAAAAAAATAAACCAAACAAGACAGTCCCATCAGCTGTCCATTAACAATTCAAAGATATCCAAGTTCTTGTAACTCCTGAAGGGGTTGCTTCAATCAATGTCAAAACTCTCACGTGAGTCTCACCCCACCTTGCAGTAGCATGATCTGTCTCTTTCCGTAACTTCCTCACTGGCTGCAAATGAGCTACACTTGAGTAGCATGTAGATAGAAGACTCCAAGAGACAAAGGAGCTGAACACAGAAACGTCTCCTATCACCAGATTACTTCATAAACCAAGAAGCCATCTGTCTGTCTCCCTGACAGCAGCACACTAGTATGGAATACCGACGAGGCATGCATCTGCACTGTGCTAAGCGTCTATTCCAGTGCTCCCACATACTGAAGTGCCACCTATGGTAAGGCAGCCTACCAGGGGAGGTACACTAGTAACTTCAAATGAAAGCAGAATTTGTACTGTCGTCACTAAGATATTTAGATATTACTTTATTACTAATATCTGCATAGGAAAAGAAGAAAAACAATAACTAGCCATGTCAAAGATTTTATTATTCAGAAAGAACTATTTCCATAAGAGAATACGGAATAATCATAACTCACTCTGTGACGTAAGCCGAGCACCTATCCCAAGATATCCTGCTATCCTACTAATAACATTACTATAAATTACGGTTATGATAAATTACCTTCTTTAAAATACAGTGCACACTAATAACAATCTAACATAATGTAACTCTACAAATGTATTCACTGTGGTCTAAGTGTATATGCCTCTCCATATTGTCTCTCTTGAAATCTTTGCCTGTAATGTCCAAACTGGAAGCGGGGAAGAGAAGGACACATTTTACCAGATTTACTGCAGACAGAAAACAAGGCTATTTTTTTTTCTTGCACCTCTACACTGGTGGGTAAAGTATAAAATTCCATTCTGAATATTACTTTTTTTAAACTGGAGGCTTTTTTTCTGTAGCATAATCTCAGGTCATTAGACAGCTCCTTCCCATACTGTATTGCACAGAAATAGCTCAGAGAGCTGCAGGAGGCAACTGAGGTTTTATGTATAAAGCAGTGACTTGGGAAACAACATCAATGTTTCTACCCAGCCACTGGCTTACGTAGCTTGCCCAACACACGTAACCTCAGCAAAAGTTAGTACATAGGTAATAATACTGAACTCCTTCATAAAGTGCATCGAGATTTTTCCGATAAAAACTAGTGCATCAAAAAGTATTACTGAGAATAGTAAGCACTGTGCAAATTTAACAGAGAGCAAAAATTCAGAGAAGCACTAAGAAGCACTGTGACTGAGCTATTTTGTACTTTTAGGCTCACGTCCTCTTCCGGACTCTGGAAGAAAGATGATCTCAAATACCTGTATTACCATAATCTTGAAAGACTCCTCCCAGATTTCATTCACGTGTTCACTGACATGCATGTACCAAAAGCTTACACTTAGCTTTGGCGCTGCCTCCAGCCCATCCTCCTGCTACACACAGGATCGCATCCACCTTTTCTTCACCAAGAAGTTTTCCAACCTCTGTTGTCACCTTCAATACACAGAACAAAAACATACTGAAAACACTGGACTGATAAAGGAGCAAGTATCAAGACTGCCTTAAAGTTACTTTTTTCAAGTTATATAGCTGAGTACCACAAAACACAGCAATTTAAACAGCTGCAGAAAATCAACATTTATAATTTATGTATTCAAAATAACTGTGTTGAAAGATAAGCATAGATGAAAGTCAGACCATATAGCGTGCGGTGTCACTGGGAATAACCGATTGAGCAGGACTGGAAGATCTGACCCTTATCTATATCTTTAACAAAAATTTTTATTTGTGACTTACTTTTCGACAGGTTTTTCTCTGGGCATGGTGCTGTTTAATATGGGAAATGAAACTCCAGGTGTGACCAGGACTACTGGTGTCGCTTTTGGTGACAGTGCAAGAAACGAACAACTGAAAATTAGCCTTCTTACTGCTTCTAGCTAGACCACAACCATCAGTTTGAGCCCAGCCCCTAAATTTGAGTTTCTACACTTTTAGATACCCAGTATCTTTTTCTCTTTCAAATACAAGACTTCACAGTTGGTAATGAATTTGTTGCCTACAAATTTTCTCTGTCAAAGTGAAAAACAAACAATCCATCCCTCAGAAAAATCAACTGGTTTTCGCAAAGGCTCAGCACTGAGAAATACATTGCAAACATTTTATATTACTGTTTAAAAGCCTTAAGAGCTGTGTAGATATAAAGAAAACATATCGGCTAGTGATTCAGTTTATTAACAAGAGAAATCGGTGCAAAAGTTTAAGTTCAAAAAACCAAATCCTATCTCTTGAGAATAAAGCACAACAGTTTTTAGGCTAGCTTAGATTCTGCCGTGTCCATCTTTGTAGAAACCAGTGCATTCTCTGGGGATCCCACTGGGCTCAGGGTTTGCATGCTTTCACCTACCTACGCACAACACATTTAGGAGTTACGACATTAGAAGCGCTGCATTTTAAGACGTCCTAATCCATCTTCACTGTACTCACACAATTCAGCCTGCGACTTTTAAGTCGCCGAGAGAGAAATAATGCAAAAACTGCCTTAGTGTGGAACCTCCACAACCCCAGATGAAGCTCCTTCTGCGCGCTGACGCCCGCATGCCGTTAACAGGATATCCCAGGGAAACGAGCAGCAGCAGCGAGCAGCAGCAGCTGGG